GAATAGGTAAAAAAAAAAAAAAAAATACTAATATATCGATGTATATACACCACATGAACAGAGAGAAAGAAAGATAGGGACTAAGTGAAAAGTAAATACGATACAAAAAGAAAAACAAAACAGCAACAGCAATAACATTTATCTATTCTACAGAAAGGAGACCGCGTCGTACGGCTTCACGGTATTGTTCCCCGTAGACATCAATGGCTGCGAGTGTCCTTTGATGCCGTGCGATGAAATACGGCGGTAGGAACTGTGAATAGCGCGGTAATGCTCCACGTGATAATAGGGTTGATAAAGTATCCTCAAGTACACCCATACGTTCTCTGGCAGCACGGAGTTCTTCCTTCAGTTTACGATTCTCCTCACTAAGATCACTACAGACTTGATAATAGGAGGAAGAGAATAATGGTACGTCATCTACATTAGGCCGTTGCTCTCCACGCAGCAGAATGGGATTTGGTGCTGGACGTTCCATTCACTCTCTCTCTCTCTCTCTCTTTGGAATTGATGAAATGATGAAGCAAGCCACGAAACAAAAAAAAATCCTTAATTTTTTCTTACAGTCTTGATAAGAGGAGAAAATAAATAAATAGAGAACAAACAGCACGAAAGGAATAGGAAAAAAAAAAAATAATCGAAGATCATAAACAACAAAAAAAAAAAAAAAAACAAGAAAAGAAAAGAAAAGAAAAGAAAAAAAAAGACACATCTAACACCCAAAATATCATAAAGTCAGATTATTTTCCATTACCTTTAAGCTAACGTGCAGCTGGTTTCTTTAAAGGCATAAAATGGATCAAGTACACTCGAATGCCGCGCAGTACATATTTGACTGGCACATACTCCTTCTTCTTTTTTGTCGGTTTTTTTTTTTTCCTTTTTTCTTTTTCAAAACAGTAAGCGAAAATAAATCCAACAGAGAAGTCAGGTAAAAAAAAAACTATTACCAACAAATTCTAAGAAAGAATAGTGATATTTTTTCTTTTTGTTGTTGTTGTTTTTCTACCATCCTTCTTGTTCTGCATCCTCAGTTTGTAGACATACAATAAAATGAAAAAAAAAAGACAAACCCCAAGAAATAAGTATCATTCAATTTTCATTTCCTTTCTTTCACACTGTATATCACAGTTTTACTGATTATATATGAATAATATATTTTACTCCACCTGGTCCTTTGACTTTTCCCTTTTATTGTTTTGCCTTCTTTTTCTTCCTCCTTTCCCTCCTTACACACCATACACCATTGTTACCTACTTAACACACTTCATGACACCTCTGTATCTGATAACATGGTTGCAGATCCGAGGACGCCAAGATAACCGTCGTACTTGAGAAAGTGTGCGTGACACTCTCCCTTAGACCAGTACAACAGTGTTGAGCTGATGTGACTCCATATAACAGGATTATCCCGTACAAACCCACCGGCGAAGAAAATGTTCGGGACATTCTGCATACGACTGTGGAGGTAGGCGAGTTGCGTAACGTTACTGGAAATCATATTGAGTAGTGAGCGGACAATGTCAATAGCCGACGGTTTTTTCTTTGCCACCGTTGTGTTACTTTCTCCGTGAAGATGATTACTACCACCATTGCCGTTGCTGTTATTATTATTATTACTGTTATTATGGTTATTATTATGATTAATGCCTGCGGCTGCTGTTGTTGCTGTGGCCATGCCGTTCGTATTGTTCTTGGTGGATGAGTTTGGCGATGTTGGCCCTGATGGTGCCGCGTAGAACCGCTCCGTCCCCAACTTCCCAAACGTACTGGCGACGGTGTCCACAGAAAGCATCGCCGGCAGGTCCGCCGCGTTGTAGCCGTAAATATCACCCACCAACAAATCCACATTGCGATTATCGCCGGGGCCGTCCAACCGCATTATTTCCATCACCTCCTCCCACGAGGTGACGTCCGTCATGGTGCGCACGAGGCCCCAGAAGGTCGCACCCCCAATGGGACTTCCACCCACACGCACATGCGATCCATCGGGGCCGTGGACTTTAATAATAGAAATGCCGGAGCCAATGTTCACAAGAAGACACGGGTATGGGAGAAAAACATCACCAGGGGGACTCCACAACTTGTGTGCGTGATGTGTTCCGGTGGGAGGATCAACTGTGAAGATGGACTCCGGTGCTTCGCGGATAACAAGACCAAGGCCTTGAACCACAGCATCCATCTCTCGCATAACTTCAAATGTTGTCTGCAGTCGTTTCTTTGCAAGAGATGAAAATTTAAATGCACCACCTCCTGTCGCACGCACATGATCATGGTATGACTGCTTGTAAAGATCAAGAAATTTAATATCACCCAAATAAGCAGCAAGTTCAGGAATACGTTTCGATGGTACCTTTGCGAAGCGTACTGTACCTACCATTGAAGAAGGATTTTCACTCAACTCCTTCTCCGCATCCTTTGGATTTTTAAAAAAATTAAATATTCGCATCCCCAACGTTTTAGAAAGTGAAGACGCTTCGTGAACCAAATAATCAGGAAGTTTATAACTACCAGGGGGTTGTACATAAAGCATTTTAGCGAATGTACCACCAATATCAATTGCAACAGGAACTCGAAAAGGGAGAGAGTTCCCAGAAGCTCCGTTAGTTGATGTATCATCATCACTGGTAATACCACAACAAGGGGGTGGTAAAACAGTAGACTCAGAATCTGAGTATAGACGATCGAAAACAGATTTAAAATACAATACCAAAGAATTACGTTGGATTTCTGCATAAGGTGTCAAAAAATTTCCATGATCTCTGAATGGGTGAGGATGAAGGTGAACGAATTGTGGAACATAAGACTCATGTAGATGATTTGCTTTTATAATACTTCGGAAGTCAGCAAGAAGAAGATCGGATGCGTAACGAGATAAATCTGTCCAGCTTAATGGTATACCTTCACTATCATACAAGTTGATTCCGTTATTTTTCATGTTAGACTTTTTATAATTATCCACTTCTTTTTCTTCTTGTAATTGTTGTTGTTTCTTATATTGATGTTGCCACTCAAATTCCACTGTATCACGGTTAGGTGTTACAACAGCGATGATTGGCTGAGATGGTCGCGCATACAGGAATATATCACTTACATAACGTGATTGAGCAAGAATACGTTCTAATTCTGCTGCTACCACATATTCACATTTAACCGGTAATAAAACCCCATTTGTTGCTCCCATAAGACGTAAGGTTCGATCATCGTCCCATTTAGCCGCAATAGGAAGTGTATGTGATTTCCCATCTTCACGAGTAAGTGTTAATTGTCCAATCTTTGCTTTTTTTGATGGTTCATCAAATGCTTCAAGTGTAACACGAACATTAGGAGCTGGAATACCATCTACACAAAAGACACCCTCAGATGGTAAAAAGAAAACTTCTCGTAAACAAGGAGCGAAACAAACCGTAATATGTTCTTCAAGTCTGTATGGTAAACTTTCTTCAGATGTACACATGACAATTTTTTCCACATTACCACCAAATTGACGTCTGATAGAACGAAAAAAGAGGAAACGTAAAAAAGCTGAATCGCGATAGTGTACATTAATAAGAACAGAACGTAGTTGATATACCATATCAAACAAACAAGAATAAATACGTCCATAACGTTCATTTGCACGTTTTAGTTCAATAGCACTTGTATCAAACAATGAAGGATTAGCCAACATAATAGTTGGTCGAAATGTTGCAAATACATCTCGACTTGCCACTTCTGATGTGGCTACACAACTACCATGGGCAAAGAGTCCAAGTATAAATATACGGTTAAAAAATACTCCAAATGGTGTAAATTGAACCATAATATGTTTTTTACCTGGTGAAGGGAGTACAGAAGTAGCAACAAGAGTACGAATATTATGTAATACTTCAGCGTGTGTAATTCGAATCGTCTTAAGAGTTTCACCACTTGTAACTGTATCGACGACGAGTGAAAAAACACTATCACCATCCACACATAATGATGTTGGTACAACATGTAAACGACCTTTATGGCAAACTTCATCATATGGAATAAGTGAAATATCAACATCCCGTGCCATGGCACTATCAGTTGCATCCGAAAAAGGATACATATGAATTATCGTTTCTAAACTACGTGAACGACATGTTAATAGAGATCCTACTGCCCCACGACTAGCGAAGGCAATCTTTATCTTGTGTTCATCAATAAGTGTTCGAAACGTTGTACTTTTCCCAACCAATGGAAGTGTTGTAAATCCATACATAGCACAGGCAATTTCAAGAATAACAGACTTCACACTTGCTTGACAGCCTACACCAATAACATCACCAGGCATAGCACCAAGTGCACATAGACCAGAACCAAGTTCTCGTGCCTGAGCGTCCACAGTGGCATAAGTTAACCAAACAGGATCTCCAACATCATTTTGCTGTCCTAGACAACGTAGTGTTTTGTGTCTCTGAACGGCTCGTTGCCAAAGATCTGCGATACTATTTGCTCCTTGCAAAATATCATATTCTCTTGGATGTAAAAGTTTGATACTATCCTTTCCTTTAACCACATCATCTGTTACAATAGCAAACTTTCGTTCATTACCAAGAACACGTATTTGAGAGCTAAACCACCACAATAACATCCATAAACTTGCTAAACCCAATAGTACCCAATAATTAAAATACATTGGAACGCATGCAAGTAAGAAAAGAGGAATAACTTCCATTTTTGTACTTGAAAAAGGGTTAGAGTGTTCATGTACAGTTTCACCTGCTACGGCAAGATTAAGTTGTCGTCGTGTTAGTGTACTTTGATGTACCACTCTTCCAGTAACAGGAATATTAAGTACCGCTGACACACCAAAATGATCAGAGAGGTATACATAAGGTCGTTCACTGCTCGTAACAAACTTCTGAATTCGTGCTGCAGAAACTTTTACTGTAGGGTTCACAAAAAAATAATCCTGTCTCTGTGGGGTAAGAGAATTACGATTTAATTTCGATTGTGTTGGGAAAAATAACTTGGTTGGTCTTGTAGGTGGATGATATCCATATGTATCAAATATAACTTCCGTAATTCCCCCACCTAATGTTTGAAACTCATTCATAAAATCATTAAGTTTCTTTGTTGTTTGTCCCACATGATGAAGATCAATACCGTTAATATTAAGATCACCTGCCAAAACAAAAGGAAGATGATTACCATCTTCCTGAGAAGCGTTAAGATGACCAAGAACTGAATCCACAAAACGACGTGTTTCCATAACCTGTGCTGAAGCTTCAACAGAACTTTCTTCAGGACGAAGATGAACATTAAAGAAAAGAATAGATTCACTTCCTTTACCACTTGTTGGAACTGTTACTTCAGCAAACAGGCAACCTCTTCGGACAGATTGTTCACTTCTCTTGTCACTACAAAAGGTATAGGATCCACGTTGCCCAATAGGAAACCTAGACGCTATAATAAGTCCATTATCTGTAAATACGTTGTTTTTAAATATTGTAGGGTATGAAGGTTGTTTTGAGATCACATAGTGTGAAAATCCCCGTTGCTTTAACTCATCCAATAATCTCTTTTTTGCACAGATACGTTTCTGTACAAAGTATGGAAGCAATGAGGTGGCGTAGACCTCTTGCAGTAATAAGACATCATACTGATCCACACACTCCAGGAAGGTGGTGATACGTTCATTCTGAAAACCACCGCAACCTCGAGGAAGAATATTAAAATTATAACTCAAAACACGAACCTCCACATTTTCACCATACACATGTCCGTTATTGTTAGCACAAATATTATTCGCACCACCTTCTCGGGATTCACCCCCTTCAGACCTCTGTAAGGATTGGAAATGCATTTAAATGTTCGAAATCTATAATTATTATTATTATTTTTTTTTTATTATTACTTGTATTTACACTATCTTGAACGACAAGAACAACAACAACAAGAACAAGTAAAAGTAATGGGAGTACAAGAAGATGAAACACCCCACCAAAAAAAAAAAAAAAATGGAAAGTAAACCAACAACAACGACAAAAAAAAAAAAAAAGAAAATAAGGAAATAAGTGTATGTGACACTTTGCAGAACCGGTTAGATTAGAGAAACACTCTAAAATCATCGTCCTGTGGGTTACTTGTCACCTGGCTGTATAAAATAAAGGCATATACTCTTCATATCTCTTCAAACATATACACTTACACAGACAGAAACAAAAACAAAAACAAAAAACAGACAAAAAAAATAAATAAACAAATACAAATACAAATCAAAGATCCTTCTGTTTTTTTTTATTTTATTTCTATTTTTATTTTTTTTTATTATCTTTGATTCTCTAAATAGTATCAGGTTGATCCACGCCTGCAACTAGACGAACGGGTTGCATCGGATAAGGTGTTAAACTGTCACGTGGGTCAATCTGTCGTTCTATTCCACGATAGTGATGAATACAATGCGCGGCAAAACGCATATAACCAAACCAAATACAAAAACCATCTAGAATAGACGATATAATACTCAAAATAAAAACAATACCATCCAGTGGATAATTCCTACCACCCAAAGAAACTAATATAACAAATTCAATAATAAATATAGGAAATGACCACACTATGAACATCACGGCCATACCCAACAAAAGTCTAGTTCTACGTTTACTGTACGATAGTCCGTATTTATATGCGTAGACAAAAAGTGGTGCACCTCCAAAACTGTAACCGACTATACCAATAATATCAAATGCGAGATGGGCACCACGCAATGTTCCTCCAACATCTAACAATGACTGCTTACGAATCCATATCACGTACTCTACAATGCTAAGGATACAACAAATAAAGTGCCAGAGGAGCAGCATCAACGGAATAGAAAGTCCAAAGATGTACATTTTCACACTTGATCTGGACCACTTTACTATCTACATCAAAGTACATTCCATACAAAGGGAAAACAATGAGTATGCATGTATCATCATCATTATAATCATAATCAATGATGATAACGACGATAATCATGATGACAGAAAAGAAAAAAAAGAAAGAAAGAAAGAAACAAGGAAATAAAGCGAAAATAAAAGGAAAGAGAGAAACCGATATATCAAAAAAAAAAGAAAAAATACATATATATATATATATATATATATATATATATATATATATATTAGCAATTAAAAATTGCAAGTAAAGGTATTTATATCTCAAGTATAGTTAAACTGCAACGGAGAACAACAACACACACATACAGAGAGAAAGAAAGATACAGGAACATACTCAAAAAAAAAGGCCTTCTGTCTCATTCACAAACGAACACATAACGAGAGATGTATACACACATACATGTATACGTGCAGCCAATTATTTTCCTTTATATGTTTTTTTTTTTTTTTTTCTTTCCCTTACTTTTACTGTTCCTGTGTATCACCGCTCTTCCACACATGGCGGCACTTGGGGTTTGCGCACGCGAAGTAAAGAGTCATGTCTTCATGAGGCTGACCAAGAGGATTCACAAAGCATGTCACATCATTTTCTCCACAGCGACTGCACCTTTTTGTTGGGTCACGTTGTGCTGTGGGGTCATTTGCAAATTCAGCCAACAACTCCAACTCCTCTACTGTACCAGTTTTTACCTTGAGATTTAAAATATACACAAGCTTGTTTTCATCATGAACCTCAGTAGTCTTGCAGTAGTTACATCGCCATCTCATTTGCCTATCAAGAGGATCATTTTCAGGGTAGAGAAGGTTATTGCACCGCTCACAGAAGAGCATAGGTGCGTCATCTAAGTGCGTTAGTGTAGTCTGCATCTTCCCTTATTGTTATTGTTGTTATTTTAATTTCAAACACAGAGAGCATCGATCATACATTAGAAAGAAAGAAAAAGAAAATAAAAAAACAAATATATAAAATGAAAAAAGGGAGAAAAAAAAATAAAAGAAGTATAGACATCAAATATAAGTGAATAACTGTATATTCATCAAAAAAAAGATCTCAGAATAACACAAGGCAGAAATACCCATAGCAATCCCTCATACTTTGCTCTGCAGCATTCGACGCAAATCCGAATCCTACCACATATCATGAGAAAAAAAGGAAAACAAACAAAAAAAAAGCACGAAAAAGAGGAAAAACAAGATAGGGAAGGAGATAGAAAGAAAGACATAGAGAAACAGATAAAGAGAGAGAGAATGTGTGTGTGATAGAGGTAAACAGAAAGATAGAAAAAAAAAGACCGTACTACAAAAACAGATGAACAAAATCAAAAAAAAAAAAAGTGGACACCCCGCTCTACATCATAATTCCCTCTATCCCAACCATCACCTCTACTCAAACCACCTCCCTCTTTTTTTTTTTTTTCTCGTTCTTTCATCTCCCCTGTATGGTCTCTTTATCTCCCTCTCCCACCCCCCACACCTTTTTTTTATTCTCCTTCTCTTTTTTTTTCTTTCTTCCTTTCTCTCTCTCTCCCACTCCCCACCCTTGTGGGTGCCTAATCCTTGCGTCCCTTAATGAGTCGCGTGGTCACCTTCTCGCGGGTGACGATGGCGGCAACGGCGCCGTAGCCGGAGAGCGAGTCGCGGTCACAGGCCGAGAGCATCGCCTGCGCGGCCACCTCGAAGAGTTCCTCCGGCCCGAGCCCCGGCCGCCAGAGCGCCTCACACATCCCGTGGAGACTCTCCGCACACGTCCCCGCACACACGTAGTCCTCCGGCTCGCACGGGGCCCCGATGAGATCCATCGCACACAAATACACTTCTCCCGTCTTCCGGTCCACGCTGCCAATGACAGGCTCCACAAACCACGGACCGAAACGGGCCTCGTACAGCATGGACGCCACTAACGCGGCGAAGGCCTTGCCGCTTATGTCACGCTCCTCGTTCAGTTTATACATCTCCGTGCGGAAACGGAGTTTTTGGGCGAACGTCTGTTGGTCGGTGCGGAGACCAGTAAGGCCAAGCACAATGCTGTCGTTGATTACATGGAGTTTCGGCACCTCCATCGAGATGGTTTTCAGCTGCTCACCGAGGCGGTTGTCAGAGATGATGACAAAGCACTCCTTACCCGCCATCGCCAGGCAGGAACCACCACTGTAAGTAAGAATCGACATGAAGGTAATTACGAAACGCAAAACAAAATAAGGTCAATATAGTAACAGTGGATGAAGTACGGGTAATATTAGTAGTAGTAGTAGTAGTTTATCTAGCGATGGTATCTAATAAATATAGAGAGATATATGCAAAAGGATAAAACCATTCAAAAAAAAAAAAAAAACGAAATATATAAAGCACTGGAAACACCATACCCAAGATCAGAAGCATGAGATGTTATAGTCAAAAGAAAAAAAGGTATCTTCATCCACAACACACATTCACAACATGGGTCTCAACATCCCACTTCCCTTTCTCACCACCACCCCCGACAACTTTATCACTATTACTTTACTCAGAATTTACCTTTGACTCCTCACTACTACGGTATTTATCACCGGCCCTAACAAGCACAGGATGTGTGAAACCCTCCAATTTTCCATCTTCAGAGTAAATGGGCACAAAATCATGGCCATACTTAACCACTTCGCTCCGTGTACGACTGAAGTAAACAGCAAAACTGTAAATACCAAGCACAAACATACCTGGAAGATAAACACGCCAGGACGTCTTATACGGCTGCTTCATTTAGACACTACACTCAAAGAAACAACAACCCTTCATATGTGTGTGTGTGTGCTTGTATAGGAGAGGAAAAGAACTGAAGAAAAAAAAAAAAAAAAAAAACAACAACAAAAAGAAGAGAAAAACGAGAGCCATTTGGCACTAAACTGAAAGCTAAAGAAAAAAACAGAAAATATTCTTTTACTAAAAGTGATAAACACATTACAAAAATTTATCACAACCAAAAGGATTATTATCATGTTTTCTATTATCCTTTCAATTGAAGGATAACACACATCTAATCAGAAAAAAAAAAAATAACAAAAAAAAAAGAACTTTTACTATTCCACATAAAAAAAGGAACACACACCAAAAAAATCTAATTTACTTTCGTCTTTTATTAAAAAACTTCCTTCCGCTCAGGCACTTGGGTGTGATGCTCACCAAATGTACGGGTTGGGAAATATCCTTTAACACCGTGGGGCCCACATCCTTCACAGTGATAAACTCATCAAGACCTTTCGAGTCCTCCAAGGTGGTCTCAATCTTTATCTGTCGAAGATCAACAGGACAGGGATTGTCGTGAAACGCCGACATCGCCTTGAGAACATCAAGTGACTCCTTCGACATCAGTATTTGTCCACCACATCCAATACTCTCAATACGGGAACAACAGTTCACCGAGGGACCGTAGTAATCATACCGCTGGTGAACTGTATCGTAGGCAGCGACAGCATCGGTGCAGTGCTGCACAGCCACACGCACACGAACGGTGTCGTTACGCCAACAGGAAGGATCACCGCCACCCTCTGTTTGCTCAAGCATTTTGAACCCAGGCGTTATGGGGGCTGCGCGCATTAGCTCCATCTGAGCCGAGAGGGCTATCTGAAGACCCACATATACGTCCTGACACGCAATCATAAGACAATCGCCAATTGTCTTCACCTCGTATGCGTTGTAAAGAGCAATGATAGAACGCAGAATGCGATGGTATTTTTTGACTGCCAGTTCCATCAACTGTGCATCTCTCGCCCACAGCTGCGTGCTTCCCTCAATGTCGACAAAAAGCAGACAAAAAGGTTCCGCGCCGTTGGGGGCTCGCGTGTTCTCCATACTCTTGAGATTCCCTTCCATTCCAGATGAAAGCCATTTCAACATGAATTCCCACGCCCACATGAAGCGGGACTCCATCGCCACATTCCATTCATTTTCAAGAAAGTGACGGCACGCGTAAATAAAGGGTTCAGTGAACATCCGCATCTGTTCGGTTGTGACATTGTACGCCACATGCCGGGCACCCAGCTCCAGCAGGTACTCTTTCATCTTCTCCTCATCATCCAGGCCAG